AGAGAGAGAGAGAGAGAGAGAGAGAGAGAGAGAGAGAGAGAGAGAGAGAGAGAGAGAGAGAGAGAACAAGCGCGGGATTGCCATTTGTGATTGTCTGTGTGTGTGTGGGGAGATCTCCCGCTAGAACATGGAAATATACACCGCCACACTTTTTTTTTTCCGTCTTTTTTTGTGATCGAAATATACACCGCTGCACTTTTTGTTTCCTTTTGTGTGTGTGTATGTGTTGGTTGGTTGGTTGGGGGGGGGGGGGGAGGGGGGGGGAGAGGGAGGGGGAGAGGGGGAGAGAGAGAGAGAGAGAGAGAGAGAGAGAGAGAGAGAGAGAGAGAGAGAGAGAGAAAGAACAGGCGCGGGATAGCTATTTGTGAGTGTCTGTGTGTGTGGGGGGGGGGAGATCTCCCGCTAGAGAGAGAGAGAGAGAGAGAAAGAAGAGTAAGTCTCCAATCTCGTGGAGAGAGAGGGATCGGTGGAGGGAGCCCGGGATCGGGACATGTTTGTGTTATGCCCCTGTCACGTGAGTGTGCAAATTCGCTTGGCCTTTTGCAGTTGCGCCTACAAAAACTTGGCAACTGCCGGCAGTTTGCAAAGTTGGGCAGTGTCCGGCACGGGTGCGTTGCAAAGATGGAGTCCAGCTGATGTCTGGCCTGTTTCGCAATATGTTTTTGTCATCGTCCTCCGACGCAGCGTGGCTGCGGCAGGTCCACTTGTTGTTCATAATGACCGAATTAACTTGAATTTGTTTTTGTTGCAGGCAGGCCCGTACATCCCAGCCAATTAGCTGGCACACTTTGGGAACCTGGTGGGGGTTTAAGGAACTTGAGAAGAAGTCACCTGAAGAAAAGAATTAGCAAAAAAAAAAGACTCTGAAAATTAGAATGCAGTGAACATATGAGGATGAGGAAGCCTTGAAATCACAGTGGCAAAAGAAAGAAAGCACATTTACTATGTCATTTAGACCACCACTTTCCGCCTCAGGCCAAAAAAAAGACTTTAAAAAGTCAATCAGATTGTAAATTATGTAATATGTATGCATCTGAAAGTTTGGGGGGTTCCGGGGCTCTACCATACCAAAATGGCTGTGCTACGTGACCGTTGGAGTCAGTTTGAGTCCATTTTGATTACCTTTTGAAGTTTTGAGCCTGTTTTACTCTACGCGTCCATTTGAGTGGTCTAAATGACTTTTTTAAACCTAAAGTCGTGCCCGTTAACGCGCCACAATTTTAGGAAACGTACGGGCCACTACAGGAGCACCCAAATTCATCCAACTAGAAACGTTTCTACTCTATTTTTTTGGGCGGACGATAGCTGGGCCAAGTACTGGTGGTTTAAGCCTGTTTTACTCTACCATGCAAAATGAGTGTTGGAGTTAGTTTGAGTCTGTTCTACTCTACCGTACCAAAATGACTGTTGGAGTTAGTTTGAGGCTTCGAGCACAGTGATGACTTTTTCAGTTTGAGCACAGTGATGAAAGTTTTGAGCCTTTTTTACTCTACCGTACCAAAATGACTGTTGGAGTTAGTTTGAGCCCATTTTGATTACCTTCTGAAGTTTTGAGACTGTTTTACTCTACGCGTCCATTTGAGTGGTCTAAATTACTTTTTTGTCTTTTTTAAGCCTGTTTTACTCTACCGTACCAAAATGACTGTTGGAGTTAGTTTGAGCACAGTGATGAAAGTTTTGAGCCTGTTTTACTCTACCGTACCAAAATGATTGTTGGAGTTAGTTTGAGCCCATTTTGAGTACCTTTTGGAGTTTTGAGCCTGCTTTACTTTACGCGTCCATTTGAGTCTGTGTAACCACTTCGAGTGATAATTTCCGCGCTTTTCTGTGCGGGCATTGCTTGCACCGCCAGCACTGCGGGCGCTGCACTAGTTGATATTGAGGCACGAATAGAGCCATCTGGGTTTGGCAATCTCAGAAGGGCGTTCTTCCTCGACCATACCTTCCTTCAGCATGGGAGTAGTACTGTGCATGGACAGACATTAAGATCCTTGCTTTTGACTGGTGCCGCCAGCCCAAAAGAAGGAAAATGCACTGGTGCCGTTTTGTTTTTTTCCTTTGGCGTGCAAGGCTTTGGGTTGGAGACTTGTGAAAAGCAGCCTCGAACGTAGTGCTGATTTAAAATTGACAATAGCCTCGGACGTAGTGCTGATTTAAAATTGACAATGATACGATGATACGATGAAATCCACATAGATCTGAAAATTGGAAATCAAATGGAGAACTGATAATATCAGGCCGGGAGCAGAGAGAGCCAAAGGAAGAATGAACACAAATTTGAAGAAACAAGTACAGTCGCCTCAGGTTTTGAGTTTCAAAAGGCCAAAATGTGATGACCCGTCCAAACATGGACTGAAACACACAGCTGATTTCTGACTTTTGCCCATAGACTGAATGCCCTGCTGAGTTTCCCGCTTGCTACTAAGTCTGTGTGTGCACGCTTGCTGGACTGCATGTCTGTCTGAGTGCCGGTTGGCTTGAGTGTGTGTGTGGCCGTGCCTGTCTGAGTGCTGGTTGGCTTGAGTGTGTGTGTGCCCGCAAGGGCACTTGCTCGTTCATTGGGCCCTCAGGGCCAGTACTTACCTGTGGCCGTGACATTGAGGGATTGCAGCAGGAAAAACACTCAAGTAGCGGGTAGGCTGGTACTGCACCCTGAAGGGGTAGATGTGCGGGTACTGGAGGCCGAGCAGAAGAAGACAAAAGTGGCATTTTTAGAGGCCCAGTAGTTGTAGGTTAGGTCTAGGTGGATACCGGTCCAACAAGTCTGGGTCTGGGGCCTGTACGGGCAATATCAGAGTCTGCAATGATGTTTCCCTCCGAAAGGAAGGAGGTACCGGTTGTTTGGAAGGCCTAGCGGCCTGGAAGTCACCGCCCGAAGAGGCAAGCAGGCCGCTATATCTCCCAGCCGGGCAAAGAGCCCGGCCTCTTTTTCGGTGTGCAAGTTTGGCAACACACTGGTGGAGCGCTGGTTGGAGCAGCGCCGCTGGGGAGGAAGGAGAAGGACACGAGGGAGGAAGAAGGAAGGAAGGGGGAGGAGCGCCAGGGGTACTTACCTGGCTATGGTGGCAGCCATCTTCATCACCTTGGTGGGCGCTGCAGCAGGGAGTCCCCAACTGGGGAGAGCCACACCAAGAAGCTTCAAGGCAGGGTTGGGCATGGCGGCCTGAGCTAGAGCAGCCGTAGCTGCTTTGGGTTGTCCTTTGGGCATCTGGGCAATGCCTAGTAGTCCACCATAGCCTCGGCCTATGAGAGTGAAGAGTGGGGGAGGCGGCCATGGCTATGGTGGACCTCAAGTGATACCTGCAGTAGAAGAGGAACTCGGACATTGATTCTGGATCAGCTATTCAACATTGTATTATTATTTCTTGTATGAATAAGAGAAGAGGGATATAAGGAGGAGGAGATTGTTGGGCGAAGAAGAAGAGCCTTGTGTTTTGTCTATGCTGGGGTACATCATCTTCTTCTTCTTTCTTACTTCTTCTTCTTCTTCTTCTTCTTCTAATCCTCTCTCCTTTCTCAAGTTCATTCATTTCTTTCTGCAATTGGGCGGCATTGCACTATCTGATGGATGTGTATTTCGAAATTGGCCAGGACCATAACAAAAAAAAGCCTCATGTCGCAGGTCTGTCACGGCGTGAGTTACGAACGGGCAAAAAAAAAAAAAGTAAAATGGCAGTCTGCACACCACGCCACCGACCAGCGAAAAACTGACCCGCCTGTCCCCCGAAGCCGCACTGTGTTTTCATTGCCTTCTTGAACTCGGCGTGTGATTAACCTGCTGGTACTTCTTTTTTTTCCGCCCATTCTAAACTAGCTGGTGACTGAAATGCACTTGCCCCAATTTGGAAACTATCGTCTCCAACATGCAACGACCAGTTGATTGCGGGTAAGGGATGGAATGCAATGAAGAGAGAGAAAGGAAGGAGAATCTCAGTGTCTCACTAATCACTCAAAAATTGATTCTTCATCAATTTTTCAATAGCCTCCCTACATCGGTGGGCCAGCCAGGATCAATTTCTTTTCTTTTCTTTTCTTTTCTTTTCTTTTCTTTTCTTTTCTTTTTTCTTTTAATTTTAAAGAAGTCCCCTGGGCAAGGCCTCTAACCCGGCGGTGGTAGGAGAACCGCTGGAATTTGCCTGTTGGGCTGCTGCATTTATTGGTGGGGCGCGACAGCTGCTGGAAACCGGGTCCAGCGCCCCTTTGATACATCATCTTCTTAGTAGAGTGTTTCTTGGCACTATGCCCATTTCAATTCTTCGTCTCTCCTGACTCATCATGCACCAGGATCAATTTCTTAATACCTTTCCTAATTAGGCTAATTCAATGATGCACAGGTTTGTCAACTACGTGCCGCGATGACGAGGGATCTTGCCGAGAAGGACAGATTGTGGGAGATGCAGCATGAAGTGGCAGCAGACAATCTCTATAACATGTGTGTTGATCTTGGAGGGTTCTTTCTCAAGGTATGCAGATATTCTGATATTGACAATTATAAATAATATTGTCACACATTTATCAAGTTAGTATCAACTGAAGGAACACATTTTGCGAAACAAACAAAGGAAATAGTGGACAGCATGAAGGACTCTTAAACCATTCCTTTGCCTTTTCCTGTGCAGTTCTTTCTTTTCTTTCCTTACTTTGGATTTTCAACGGTTTCTCTTTTCTTTTGTATTATTACATACCATTGCGATAGTATATAAATGAGGGTGCTGTACAGGAGGAACATCTTACTGAATATTTCATTCTCCTGTGTTTGTGTGTATGGTCTTTGAATGTTTGCAATAACCACTACTTCTTCTTCTTCTTCTTCTTCTTCTTCTTCTTCTTCTTCTTCTTCTTCTTCTTCTTCTTCTTCTTCTTCTTCTTCTTCTTCTTCTTCTTCTTCTNTTCTTCTTCTTCTTCTTCTTCTTCTTCTTCTTCTTCTTCTTCTTCTTCTTCTTCTTCTTCTTCTTCTTCTTCTTCTTCTTCTTCTTCTTCTTCTTGCGTCCTCCTCCTTCTCCTTCTCGCGTCCTCCTCCTTCTCCTTCTCTGTCTTAGTTGTCATCGTCTTTGTTGCCTTCTTCTTCGTCATCTTCTTCCACTTCTTCTTCTTCTTCTTCTTCTTCTTCTTCTTCTTCTTCTTCTTCTTCTTCTTCCTTCACTTTTTCTTCTCGTCTCCTTCTTCTCCATCTCCTCCTCTTCCTTTCTCTGCAGTTCCTCCTTCTGCTCCTCCTCCTCCTCCTCCTCCTCCTCCTCCTCTTTCTGCTGCCGCTGCAGCTGTTCCTCCGATTTGATGTGTCCGTTAATCAATGTTGTCTAGGATATCTTCCTGGACATCCAGGCAGCCTCAGGCTGTCTGGAATGCCGAGCTGGCCAAGGGCCCAGCCAACTTCTCTGCCAGGCCCAGCCAGTCCCACCGCAAGAAAAAAAAATAAAATAAATAAAAAACAGTAAATAAATAAATAATGCAAGGAATATGAGTGCGAACGATATACAGAAAACCAAGTTGCGAAATCACACAGATGTCCAGGTAGTCGTATCCAAGCAGAGAGTACGAAATGCACCGAGAAACCATCCATATAGAGCAATATAATGAAGTAATGAGCCAATGTTCAAGCCCGTAGGCCACACCAACACAGTATCCAAAGTTGCTCCTCTCCGTCTGGCGCCCAGCGCCCAGCGCCCAACCTACTCTGCCCGACTATCCTACCTGCCGCCGGGTCACGCAACAGGCTCACTTCAACTCTCGAAGACCAATATACATGACTGTCAACTCTATAGCCGACCTCTCTTCATGCACCAGGTACGTATCTCGTCACCCTCAATCAGACCTTGATTACCCCACACTGGCCTCCTTCCCTGAAGACCACCAGATCGCCCGCTGCACCCCCTGGCGCCCAGCAGCCCGGCTATGGCTGCCTGCGCCCCGCTGCCCTGCAGCGCCCCTCCTCACCACTACGCGCCCCGTCAGCGCCTTTGGCAGCAGCGCAGCATCAAGCGAGAGCGCAGCAGCACTTCCGCATTGCCAGCACTGGCCAGAATGCCTGGCCTGGGCTGCCTCACTTCTTTTATGGAAGTGGCAGCCTCCTGGATGCTGCGTGTGGCCTGGCTGGAAGCTTCCAGTAGCTTCCGGTTGGGCCTCAGACCCTGCGCCCAGGCCCGAGACTACAGTTGAGCATCTGGGCCCTTTTCAGTTGGGCACGGCCTGAGTCTCCGGACTTGGGCTGTTTGCTGCATCTGTGCAGGGCTCCCAGGCAGGTGCGTAGGCAGTACTGCTTTTCCAAATGTATCAGCCCTGCTTTGTGTGTATGTTCCCAGGCGCAACTGTCAAGGCCTGGGCCAACTGTATGACGCAGCTTAGTGAGGCTCACACGTCTACCCAACCAACTGGCGTGCTGCGAGAGCCTGAATACCCACATATGGAAATGTCGAATTTTGGCCTCTGAAGAATATTCACGCCCGCCTTCACTTAGGGCGGGCACTTGGCTTGCTGGGGGCCTTAGCCCAGAACATGTGACGTCTGATAGGGCCCCTTGAGGGCTTGTTCCTCACCATAATAAAAATTAAAACTAAATTCTGGAAACACGATACACTAAAAGTGCGATGCAAACAACGTTTGGCTGAGGACTACCTCAGAATTCCCCTTTTTTTTTCTAGGAAGTTTTTCATGCCCGGCCGGGCACCCGGGGTACCCGGGCGTGCACAAAAATATATATATATATCGTCACAAATGAGGTGTGAACCGACAGTCTGTAGAGTTTTCCATCTGGTGTGGGTGAGTGATAGTCTACTTTGATTTTGGTTGAGGTGGATTATCACTTACAGTGTAATCAGTGAGGGTTCAGCCTCCTGATGAGTCGGTGAAACTCCGACGAAACAGTTTGTCACAGCCCCTCGTTTGTTGTCCTCTTCTCCCTCTCTGCCTACGGTTTACCGGGCAGT